CACATTATCACCAAATTCAATAAACAAAATATAATTATAAATATTAAATCATATGCGAAAAGATTAATGTGTAAAAGCACATATATTTCCTTATACGTAGAGGTGGCAAAATGGGCGGGATGGGCGGGATTTGCTTGGGTTTGAGATGGAACCGAGTCATATGGGTTTGGGCCCAACCTTACCCATATGTGTTTTGGGACTAATTTGGGCGGGATCATTTTGGGATGGGTTTAGATTGATCCCGCCCAATACCCAAATCCATTTTCTACATATTTTTTTTCCTTTAATTCAATTTTTTTTAATATAATTTTAATATTTTTGATTTATTAAATTTCTTTTAGTTTTATTAAATAAACATGCAAGTGCTTTATACTCAAGATTCCCACCAAAAATTGGATTAAAAAATAAAGGAAAAGATAGATATACAGCCATATTCCAACATATATCAAGATGGCCAAGATCCTTAGGATGTTGAATATTTATCCTTATCATTGTCCAAGGATGACAGGTCTAAACTAACTGAAATGCTGGAAATTCTTGTGGATAATGACTAGGAAGACTACTAGATTATATTCGCTGGTATGACTATAAAAATTGTTAAAGATTATTTTTGAATCTAAGATTCCGTTTGGATTGACTTTTTTTTTCAAAAAATAAGTTTTTCAAATACAATGTTACAGTAATATACAATCAAGAAACATCCCATCCATATTAATATATCAAATATTTCAAAAAAATTTTATAGTAAAAATTTTTCATATACACTGCTACAATAAAATATTTCAAAAACACCTACCAAAAACAGCTAATCCAAACGGAACCCTTGCCATTTGAGCCCAATGGGTACCCAAGTATTTCCCATCCTTTCCCATTCATTAATGGGTATAGTTGGGATGTGTCCCAACTTAAACCCAATACCAAATTATAATACCCATCCCGCCCAAAGTTCCTTTGGGCATGGGTAGCCCATTGGGACTTGGGACAAATTGCCAGCTCTACTTATACATAAATTTGCATTTATTTTCATCCATCTAGTTATAATTTCGTCTATTTCTAAACATCTAGTGTACTCTTCACTTACTATCATAGTTGCTGTTTTTAACCATCTAATGTACTCTGTAATTACTATCATAGTTGCAGAGAATTTAATTACCTTTATGGAGAGTCTCATTTGGATTGTAAATTTTTGGAGAATTTTTTGAAATATGCTACTACATGATGTTTTATTGAAAAACATGTATTCAAGAGGAATATATGGAAAAGAGAAAAAATATGGTTAGAGAATTTGTTATTTTACGAAAGTTCATAAGATATAGGGTTGTGCTTAGTAAAGTAGACTGTGCTTTTAGCGAGTAAATAAATCAAAGTCCTAAACAAATGTTCTGGTTCGATTCAAGTTCAAACTAGAATTCGATTAAGGCGTCGAATGTAATTCAAATTTGTACATATTTCGCTCATTAATTATGCATTTGTTATTTTATTTTATAGATGTTAAATGCATATAAAAATTTAAATAGTACATCATGCCTTTGCATCAAACAAAATTTTAAATTTTAAACTCGTATAAAATTCAAATTTGAATTTGGATTCATACCCAAAAGTTTGAATCAAATTTGACAATTTAAAAGTTCAATTCGATTCGTTTACAATTCTATTGAAATCACTAGAAGGGATTAATGGATCTTGGTCACCATCTTATCAACCCTTTGTTTCTTTTTTGTTTAATAGAACTTGCTCAATCTATTATCAGGTGAGGATGAATAAACTTATTTAGCGAAATGTAAGGGAGTTTTGAACAATTTTATGATACAGGGCCTAGACAAAACCAGGCAAGCAACTGCTCGAATTTTTATTTTCTAGAGTTTTGAGTTTCGAAAAGTTTTCGCTCGAGGAAACCCTTTCTAAATATTGGACTCGAGTGACCATTCCTCATCTACCCAAGGCCATCCATTATCAATTTTTTTTAAATTTCTTTTCTGTCTGGGCCAAATACAATTTGTTTGGACCTATTCGTGGGCTTTGAAATCACGTTCCCTCTTTGCTGCTGCGAGAATACATCCCAGTCGAACCGAAAGATTTGTGATGAAATTAGGAGAAATAATGTGACAAGAAAATTTTATGGATTAATTTTCTATACACTGATAGTGTATACGCTTTCACCATTAGATGCATGATACATAATCCAAATTTGAATTTGAAATTCAAATTTTACATATGTGTCGTATATCTAATCGTGATAGTGTATGCACCGTCAGTATATATAAGATTAACAAATTTTATTTGCTTTATCAAAACTAAATTTATGCCAGTGAAAATAACCAATTAATTTTTATTCAGTTGTATAGTTTGTTGAAGGAGAAGTTTGAACCCCTCTAACCAATTACTATTTAAGAAGGCTAGTTTTCTACGCAGTGAACTACCACTAATTCCTTTGAAGTTGTCTAGCATTTATTCCAACAGAATAGAATTCCAATTGTTAGTCTTTTTTCTTTCTTTCCTTTTCTTCCTTAAACAAATGACAACAATATTAACTTAGAAATTTCGGTTGAGGAGTTTCGATTGCAATTTTCTGGAGTTTTTATAAAAAATGTATTGTAGCGATTTGATATATGTGAGATAAAATGGTGATTGAAAAATATATTCACGCAAACGTAGAAATTTTTTCTTTTGATGGAAAATGGCTTTCCAAACAACATTATATAATTCGATTCTTCCGCAAGGGTAATATCTACTTCTTAAGTGAGTTTATTATAAGTGTGCCACACTCCTATGCACCCCTGGACAAAATGATTGCCGCAGTTAGTCATCATTCCATCATCCACCTGATGCACCATAATTCATTCACATTTGCAAGACAACTACTTCACTTCAGTGAAACTTGGAGGGGGCAACCGTTTACTGTACTTGAAAAATTGTTGTTGAAGAAAAGCCCAACTTTGCACTTTTGCCTTCAGGATTTTAGTTGTATTTTGTGGATTAGATAACTTTTTTGGCACTTTTTTTTTTCTTTCTACTTTTCATCATTCGACCAGCTGAGCAATGATTTTCCCAAAACACAAGTAATTCTTGCATCATTGGTGACTGAAAAAAGGGGTAAAAGTAACGTATCATCAACTATGCTAATTCTTGTTTCTTACAACATTGCAAATTTACACTATGTCTTCCACGACTGCCTAAATGTGTAATTTACTAGAGCCTGCAATTGTGCAGGCAGGCTTTGAACCTTGAAGCTCCCTCCCTTAACTTGTACAGAATTGAATATAGAATGCGTGCCAGTAAGACTGACTGAGCAAAGAAGCATCCGACATGCTAGATCAACAGCCAAACCAGTGGAACTCTATTCAAAAAATGTAGTCAACATGAGCTTAACCACTAGCCCATCTGCCATGCATGCACTTTATGATCACATTATATTTATAGCGAGGGGAGTTCTGGCCAGAGTACATCATTGGTCACAAGAAGAACCTCTTTCGAGATTATATATTAGTTAGGGTAAAATACCCAAAAATTCCTTGTAGTTTGCTAAATGTTCAATTTAACTCCCTCTAGTTTGAAAACCCACACTATAACTCCATGTGGTTTCAACTAAATTGAAATTGGACAGAAAGTATCTAATCTAACGGTTATACGTAAAATGCCAACATTGCCCTTATATAAATGAACTCCCTATGGTTTGTTGAATGTTCAATTTAACCCTCTCTGATTTGAAAAATTACACTATGACTCCTTACGATTTCGACTAAATTGAAAATTGAATGGAAAACATCTCACGTATAGTAGGGGTAGTATTGACATTTCACACACAACCATTAAATTTGATGTTTTCTGTCTAATTTTCAATTTAGTCAAAAGTCAAAATCACAGGGAATTATAGTGTAGGTTTTCAAATCAGAGGGAATTAAATTAAATATTTGTCAAACCGCAGAGAGTTTTTGGTATTTTACCCTATTAATTAGTACATACTTATTAATTAGTACATACTTCTATGATTAACCGAGCAAATTAGAATAAACCATTTGAAATCAAGAACATAGCCTTTTAACCATGTTGGGCTGCAAACTTGGAAAGCAAACATTTGTTGGCTTAGTGTATAGCATGTAGCAAGTATGGAGGAGGAACATAGTATTTGAAGCTAGTTAATCATGATTTGCTTGATATAGATGTCGAGTATGGAAGATCCGGAGCCATTAATTAAGGTTTATGTTGATATGTTCTTCATTTTGCCTGAGCATTCTTTTTTTTTTTCTTCTTTTACTTCTTCAGGGAGAGGGGCTGGCTGAGGTAAGGACAGGGAAGAGTGAATAACCTTTGGCTGCAGTTCAACTTGTGTTCGATTTTCACCATTTAAAAGTTACACAAGGCACAAGTAGCGTCAAAGTAAGCAAGTACAACAAAAAGCGTGCAATGACTTGAGAAATTGAAATATCAAAGATTTTGATATCAAAGAAATTGAAATATCAAAGAAATTGAAATCTGATTTCCCTGCGCAACAGGTAAGGCACAAAAGACAGAACAAGTTACAGAAATAGCCAAACGAAGTTGCACGAATCCAGGACCCAGTGGACTAGCATTGGCATATGGACAAAGCAAATTTGAAGGAAAGCAAGGTATCAATTTATCATTCCTTGTCTTACATGTATGGCTGCAAATGTAAACGACGATGGTCCAAATGGTCCACTGCAGTGCGCTGCAGATTATGTCTCCCAGAAGTGTCATGCTGCCCGCTACTAACTTGCACCAGGGACCAGAATCTAGAAGTGAATACTTTGTTACAGAAGAAAGAAGGACGAATGCATAAAAAGTGAGGATGAGAGACATTGCCAATTCTATTCATAATCTTGCGAGTTCTTATTTATTGTCCGCCATTGTGCTTCAATCATCTATGAGAATGCTTCCAAATCATCAAAAAGTTTGTGAAGAAACAGAATGGAAACCATGCTACTGTACAACAGAACGTGCATTAGTGCCTTTTAACTCAGAAAATGAAGAGAAACGAGTTCTTCAAGTGAGGGTGGTATGAAGAGAATTTTGAACTCAAAAAGAAAAACCTGTGCACATAAATTAGGTCCTCCTCCCACTAAAATGAGAAGGCAATAAGAAACGCGGAAACATTTCAATGGAATCCATACTACTGTACAACCTCTTAATGGAAGCAAGCACAGAGCTCATAACAAAAATTAACAGATAGGTAAATTTGCCAAGAAGTGGACTTTTCATTTTTTCTAAATTTTTGGCTCAATCTCTATGAAACAGGTTCAATATCCTTCAGGAGCCCTACTACTTGTTGCATAGTTGGTCGCTTTGAGGGAAGGTCAGCAGTGCACAAATATCCAATCTTCAGAGCTTCCACCATTTGAGTCTCTAGTCCAGTACCATGGATTTTTGGATCAATAGCTCTTGACCCTACATTCTTCCTCACTAATCCTCTCACCCAACTAACTAAAGTTGCTTCCTTTTCATCTGGATAATCATCGTCTGCAGGCTTCTTCCCAGTGATCAGCTCAAAAAGAATGACTCCAAATCCAAAGACATCAGACTTAGGTGTTGGATTCTTAGGGGGCCCAATCTGTGGGTCAAGAAATTCTGGTGGCACATATCCTGCAGACCCACGAGCAATCTCATCCTCCAGACCGTTGCCAAAAATTTTAGCTAGTCCGAAATCAGATAATCTTGGTTCCAAATTCAGATCAAGATAGACACTGCTTGCTTTGACATCTCGATGTATAATAGGAGGAGAACAGCCATGGTGGAGAAATGCAAGCGCACGCGCTGTGCCAAGTGCAATTTTGTACCTAAATCTCCAAGTTGTTAACAATCCTTCGGAGCCAATGTTTTGAATGGAATTGTTATCATCTTCTTCCCACGTGTCTGTGCTCCAGTCTTCTGTAGCTTGAACCCCAAGTGGGAGGTCATGAAGCAAATTTTGCAAGTTTCCATTCTCCATATAGTCATATATAGCAATCCTTTGCTCTCCAGCCAAGCAGTATCCAGTCAATGGGACAAGATTGGGATGTTTTATTCGACCAAGATACTCAAGCTCTCAAGCAGCTTCTTGGTCAGTCATGGTGGATCCATGAACCAAAACTTTGACAGCTACATGAATCCCACCAGACAAGAATCCTCTATACACTGGTCCAAACTTACCTTCAGCCAACAATGTGCCACGGTCAAAATGAGAAGTTGCAGACAAGAGGTCTGCAAATGTGAAATTCAACAGAGGCTTTTCAAATATAACTACTGGGACAGATGTTGCTTGCTTAACATCGGCAACCCAAGTGGTTGAATCCGTCTGGAATGAAAAGCGGCCAGATATATTCTGTTCTTCTTTGTAAGAATTCTGTTTCACTTCCCACATTCTGGTTTTCCTTCGATAACCAAAGGCTAAAAACAGCAATCCCAAAAGCAAAAAGACCATGGAGATGGTTAACACCACGGCAAGCTTGAGGCCCCGATGCTTTTGAGTTCTTCTCTTGAAAAGATCAGGATTTGCAGCAATTGGACAGCTGTTCAATGAGCCGATGAAAGCTGAATTGAGGGTTTCAGGGGAGAATTCTGATGCACAAAGGGTAAGGTTGTTGTAAGAGAAATTAAACCTCTCCATCCATGGTAGCTTGTCTATGAGCTTCATTGGGATGTCACCACTTAAATTGTAATAGGAAAGATCTAGTACTTGGAGTTTTTGGATGCTTAAAAGAGGAATATGGCCATTAAGATGGTTCCTAGAGAGATCAAGTGTCTTCAGATTACTCAACATCGAAATTTCACCAGGCATTTCGCCAATCAAATTACTTGCAGACAAATTCAGATACTCTAAACCAGAAAGCATACCAATGTGCAGCAACTGTTCTTTGGAATATCTGTTGTGTGCAAGATTAAGGTGTCTGAGATTCTGAGCTTCATTTAAGTCGTTGAAAAACTCTCCACTAAGCTGATTCTCAGATAAATCCACATAAACCAAGGGACAGAAAAAATGGTAAAAAACACCAGCAGAACACCCCCAAAGTCACTTCAAACGACTAATCTTTTTTAGCCTTTCTGCTGCATAAAGGGCAGTGAAAGATCACTTTTTTTTTTCTGACTTCTGGAACACCAACATTAATTCCATAGCCACCCCCCAACCTCTCAACAGAAACTCCAGTGAGGAAGTGGTATTCAGCTTTCAAGGGAATCTTACCATTGGGCAAAAGGAAGCAACCACTTTTGCCTCAACTTTGTGGTGGTCTTTTTGTGCCCATAACCCCAGAAAGTGCAGTGAGCAGCACATGACTGGAGACTCTTTATCAAGAACAAAAATGGGATTTTATTGTTTTTCCTGCGAGAGGGAACAAAAGTTGTAAGTATATGGGGGATGGTCTTGAGAGAACGAACGTGAGCATTGTTTCTTGGGATAATTGCAGAAACCTCCCCTGACTTTTATAGTAATAGCATTGACCTCCCCTATCAATTTTGAATAGCACTGACCTCCCCTATCAAAAGTTGGAGGCAATTTAATAGGTAAAAGTGGGTCAATTTACTAAAGTACCCCTGACATGATTTAATTTTACCAAATGAATATGATGAGTACTTTCATCAAACCCAACAAAACATTTGTTAATAAAAATTACACTAAATTAACTATTTCTGCATAGTTTAACTAATTAACTAAATAACTAATAATTTAATTAATTAATAACTAATTATCTAATTGTTAATAGTTATTAACTAATCAAACTATTTCTACATAGTTAAACTAATTAACTATTAACTAATTATCTAATTAACTATTAACTAATTAACTAATTATCTAATTAATTAATTAACTAATTAACTAATTTCTATTTATCTAATTAACTAATTAACTAAAGCTGTTGTCTATCCGAAACTAACAAACTATTTGCATGTTAAACTAATTAACTAATTAACTGCTTAATTAATTAACTAATTAACTACCTAATTATCTAATTAATTAATTAACTAATTAACTAATTTTTGTTTATCTAATTAACTAATTATCTAATTAGCTAAAGTTGTTGTCTATCTGAAACTAACAAACTATTTGCATGTTAAACTAATTAACTGCTTAACTAATTAACTAAAGTTGTTGTCTATCCGAAACTAACAAACTATTTGCATATTAAACTAATTAACTAACTAATTATCTAATTAATTAATTAACTAATTAACTAATTTCTGTTTATCTAATTATCTAATTAACTAATTAACTAAAACTGTTGTCTATCCGAAACTAACAAACTATTTGCATGTTAAACTAATTAACTAACTAACTAATTAACAGACTATTTGCATGTTAAACTATATGCAGTACGCATTATCTATTTAAAGTATCGGCTCTTTATGGGTATTTTACTTTCAAACATTTAATTTATGATAAGAACATCAATGTTTGTAAGTAAAATTCAAAAAATGTTACAGTAATATCAATATTCTTACTTTCAAACATTTAATTTATGGCCCTATGCCCCTCCCTTTTTGTAAGAATATTACTGTAACACTTTTTGAATTTTACTTACAAACATTGATGTTTTTATCATAAATTAAATGTTTGAAAGTAAAATACCTATAAAGAGCCGATACTTTAAATAGGTAATGCGTACTGCATGTAGTTTAATATGCAAATAGTTTGTTAATTAGTTAGTTAGTTAATTAGTTAAGCAGTTAATTAGTTAATTAGTTTAACATGCAAATAGTTTGTTAGTTTCGGACAGACAACAGCTTTAGTTAATTAGTTAATTAGTTAATTAGTTAATTAGATAATTAGATAATTAGTTAATTAGTTAATTAGTTAATTAGATAATTAGTTAATAGTTAATTAGTTTAACTATTAACTAATTAGATAATTAGTTAAGCAATTGTCAAACAAATAATAATTGTCAAGCAAGTAAGGGCAAAATTGGAAGAAAATTCTTATCTCACTTCTACAAAAGCTGTCAAGGAGGTTTCTGCAACGAATTGTTACTATTCAGAGGAGATGAATGCAATTTCTAAACCTAGAGGGGAGGTCAGTGCAAATGTCAAAAATTTCAGGGGAGATTTCTATAATTATCCCTTGTTTCTTCTGGGCTTGCAGTTTCACTCAATTACAAGGGGGACACAGAAAACCACCACTAAAAGCGGTTTTGTTTAAGTCAAAATCAAGACTGACGCATACAATTATCCCAAAAGAAACAAGGGATAATTGCAGAAACCTCCCCTGAGATTTCTGACATTTGCACTGACCTCCCCTGTAGTTTAAAAAATTACACCGACCTCCCCTGAGATTACTAATCCTTTGCAAATTTAGTTCAAATGATTAAAATATTGTTTTAGATAGTGAAATTAAAATTTTGTACCAGATTTGTCCTTTGTGCTACATGTCCAATGAATGACAAAGTATTATAAATCAATTAACAATTAATAAACTTTAAGGAATATAATTTATAGGCAAACACGCATTACTCATTTAAAGTACCGGTTCTTTACGGGTATTTTACTTTCAAACATTTAATTTATGATAAATATATCAATGTTTGTAAGTAAAATTCAAAAAGTGTTACAGTAATATTTTTGCAAAAAAGAAATCGGTAGGTTATTTATTTAATATAAATTAAATATTTTTTTTAAAAAAAAGAAATAGCCCATAAAGTATTAATTCTTTATGGTTTTCATCCATTACATAAGTAAAGTATTTACTCTTTATGTGCATTCTATTCTGAATCATTTAATTTATATTAAATACATAAATGTTCGTAACTAAAATTGAAAAAGTATTATATTAATATTTTTACGGAAGAGAGATTGGTAAGTTTTGTATTTAACAAAAATTAAATATTTGAAAGTAAATACAAATCTGTATTTGAGCGTAAATATTTGTATTAAATTAAATGTTTGAAAGTAAAATACCTGTAAAGAACCGATACTTTAAATAGTTACCGGCCCTTTATGGGCAAACACGCATTATTCATTTAAAGTGCCAGCTCTTTATGGATATTTTACTTTCAAACATTTAATTTATGATAAATATATCAATGTTTGTAAGTAAAATTTAAAAAGTGTTACAGTAATATTCTTACAAAAAGGAAATCGGTAGGTTATTTATTTAATATAAATTAATTTTTTTTAAAAAAAGAAATGATTCATAAAGTTTTAATTCTTTATGGCTTTCATCCATTACATGAGTAAAGTATTTGCCTTTTATGGGTATTTTATTTTGTATCATTTAATTTATATTAAATAGATAAATGTTTGTAACTAAAATTGAAAAAGTGTTATATTAATATTTTTACGGAAGAGAGATTGGTAGTTTTTATATTTAATAAAAATTAAATATTTGAAAGTAAATACAAATCTGTATTTGAGCGTAAATATTTGTATTAAATTAAATGTTTGAAAGTAAAATACCCGTAAAGAGCCGGTACTTTAAATAGGTAATACTTATTTGCCTATAAACTGTACTCCTTAAAGTTTATTAATTGTTAATTGATTTGTAGTATTTTGTCATTCATTGGACATGTAGTACAAAGGACAAATTTGGTACAAAATTCTAATTTCACTCCCTAAAATAATATTTTAATCGTTTGGACTGAATTTGCAAAGGATTAGTAACCTCAGGGGAGATCAGTGTAATTTTTCAAACCACAGGGGAGGTCAGTGCAAATGTCAGAAAACTCAGGGGAGATTTCTGCAATTATCCCTTTAATTTATGTTAAATACATAAATGTTTGTAACTAAAATTGAAAAAGTGTTATATTAATATTTTTACGGAAGAGAGATTGATAGTTCTTATATTTAATAAAAATTAAATATTTGAAAGTAAATACAAATCTGTATTTGAGCGTAAATATTTGTATTAAATTAAATGTTTGAAAGTAAAATACCCGTAAAGAGCCGGTACTTTAAATATGTAATACTTATTTGCCTATAAACTATACTCCTTAAAGTTTATTAATTGTTAATTGATTTGTAGTATTTTGTCATTCATTGGACATGTAGTACAAAGGACAAATTTTGTACAAAATTCTAATTTCACTCCCTAAAATAATATTTAGGGAGTTTGGACTAAATTTGCAAAGGATTAGTAACCTCAGGAGAGGTCAGTGTAATTTTTTAAACCACAGGGGAGGTCAGTGCAAATCTCGAAAACCTCAGGGGAGGTTTCTACAATTATCCCAAGAAACAAATATCAAACACTGAAAGAAATTTGCCAGACTACCTTAAAACAAGCGAGAGTGAAGTCAGTGAACCGTCCCTGAACGGTTAATGGCTATGATCTGGCCTCAAAAATTTATGCGGTTGAGATTACAAGTTATAACTCGATTTTCACGTCATATGTGGGTCCCATAAAAATTTGCTCTAAAATTATGCGGCGTGCAAAAAAAGTTATACGATATACAAAGAAAGTTATGCACAATTAAAAATGACCAAAACTGTCCGGGACCTTGTCCGTGAAATGGGGTGCTGTTTGTTGGGAGGAGAAAATTGACAGTGCTGTACGGCTGTATGGAGTGGTGCGAAGTGGGCTTAATAAATGACAAAGGATTGAAAGAAATGTCTTTCTGGTTGGTGGAATTTATCAAAGGGCTGTTGGCAAATGATTCAATTATTATTTTTTTTTCCACATTTCAGATAAGAACAATGCATTGATTCTGCATTTAAGATAGTGGCATCTGTTTCCAAAATAAATCCCATCAATTAGTACCTTTTGGTGAAGTAATTTTGGGGAGTCAATAAAGATGTGGCAAAAAGAACAAAATAAAACTACTTTTCATTGCTATATCTACCGGTTAGAATTCTCTACAATTTATGTTAGGCAAGCATAATTTTAGAATTGTAGATATTTTTTAGACAAATGGCAAATACCACTGTATTATCTAATTAGATAACAAGTACAAAATTTTGGGTTGTTTTCTTTGTCCAGCCCCTCTCAATCCAACCCTCCACCAAAAAAAAAAAAAAGTGCTGCTTTTGACTGCTGAATCAACTCAATTACCT